ATTCTTATTAAGTAATTAAAATTTGTATTTAAAAATTCTAACATGTGTTGTATTTTATATGTGTTGGGTACGTGCTCAGTGATGATTACAAGATGTACACAAACATCGTTTATTCTACATTACTCATCTACTATTCTATATTACAGTTATGGTTAAAGATAATAATAGATACAGTTACAGTTACATATAACATCTCCCTTTTTATAAAAAAATAATAATAGTAGTAAAATTAAACATATTCTTTTAAATAATAAGGTTTCTTAACAGTCCTACCAGATCGAGTGACGTAGTTATGTCCATTTGAAAAATTTGATGATACTATACCTCTTTCACTATCTCATAGTTGTTTTGTATTGCAAACTCTTCCTGATTAGTTCCTTTAAGAAGGTCTCTTCTGTTCCTTTCTACAATTCTTCCATCTGTTCTTATAATCCTATATGAACATGGTCTTTCTGCTTCTATAATTTTCCCTCTTTCATTTAGTTTTTTCCCTTTCTCTTTTATGTAAACATGATCTCCTGTTTTCAGTCATTTTAATGGTCTTGCATTCCTATCATAATAACTTTTTTGTAAGGTTTGTCTCTTCAGTAAGTGTTGTTTATGGTCTTCATATCGTTTAGCTTGGATGAAATTCTCTTTTATAGGCATCAATCCATTTACTTTTCTTCCAAACATCAATTCAGAAGGTGACTTAATTTCATCTGAAATAGGAGAGTTACGATATTCCAGTAAAACTAAATATGGATCTTTGTTGTCAACTACAGCTTTTTCTAACATTCGCTTGACAGTTTGAATATGTCTTTCAACCATTCCATTAGACTGTGGGTATTTTGGACTTGAAGTTCTGGTTTCAAAATTCCATCTTCTTGCAAAATCTTTATATTTCCTGCAATTATATTGTGGACCATTATCCGAATATACTATTTTCGGAATACCATGTCTTGCAAAAATTGATTTCAATTGCTTTATCACTGCTACACTTGACAAATCTTCCAAATGTCCAATTTCAACATATTTGCTAAAATAATCTTATAACTATTAGATAATCCCTTCCTTGAAAGTAAAAGAGGTCTGTTCCCAATACTTCCCATGGACCATTAGGTATTTCTTTAGATATCATTGGTTCTTTAGTATTAGCTTTTTGTAAACTTAAACATGTTTGACAATTCAGTACCAAATCTTCAATTTCTTTTGGACATTCCTGGCCAACATAATATTTCTCTTGCTTTGATCTTGCATTTTACTACTCCTAAATGACCATAATGAATTCTGCTTAACATATCTTTTCGTAAACTTCTTGGTACAACAACGGGAATTTTTAAATATTAATCCATTTGCTTCTGATAGTTCTTCTCTGAAGTTAAAATATGGTTTTGCCAGTTTCTGGAACCATACACTTTTTTTCATCTGGCCATCCAGTTTTAATTAATTTTTTTAAAACTTGTAGTTCTTCATCTTTTCCTGTTTCCAGTTGAAAAACTTCCATTTTACCATTAGACTTGGTATACATTCTACAACTAATCCAACATGAGCTTCTATTTCTCCTTCAAAGAAATCAGATCCTTTATCAGTGAATGATCTTGATAATGCATCCGCTATAAAAAGTTCTTTTCCTGGTTTATATTTTACCTTAAACTAATATGGCTGTAATCTTATACGCATTCTTTGTAGTCTTACAGGGCATTTATTTAATGGCTTTTTAAAAATTGATTCCAGTGGTTTATGATCACTTTCCACAGTAATATTTTTTCCAAATATATACTGGTGAAATTTCTCACACGCAAATACAATAGCTAAAGTTTCCTTTTCAATTTGTGCATAATTCTTCTGTGTATCTGTTAATGCCTTAGATGCATATGCCACTGGTAAATTATTCTGCAGTAAGACGCTCCTAGTCCTTCTTGAGATGCATATACAGATAAAACTACTGGCATGTTTATATCATAATACTGTAAAACTGGTTTATTTACCAAGACATCTTTTAGTCTTCTAAATGCTTTTTCATGTGTTTGCATTCCAGTTCCAAATAACTTGTTTTTTCAACAAATCTCTTAAACTGATGTCAATTCTGATACATTAGGTATAATCTAGAAACATATGTAATCATTCCTAGGAAAGTTTCTAATTCTTTCACATTTTTTGGTGGTTTTATATCTAGAATTGCCTTAATTTTGTCTTCATCTGGTTTTAAACCATCTTTAGAAAATATATGTCCCATATATTTCACTTCATTCAGCACAAATTTACATTTATTTAAATTTAATTTAACATTCTTTTCTTTGGCTCTGTCCAACAACTTCTTTAATCTTGAATCATGTTCTTTTTTATCTTTACCCCAAACTAATACGTCATCTACATATATTTGAACTCCTTCTAAATCACTTGAAATTTCAGAAAAAACTTCTGTGGAAAACTTTTGGTGATGAACTCAGTCCATATGATAACCTCAAAAAACAATATTTACCAAACGGAGTGTTAAATGTAGCAAATTCACAACTTGAATCTGACAGTTTAATTTGCCAAAATGCTTTGCTTGCATCTAAAATACTAAAGACCTTTGCATTTGTCATTTGAGATGAAATTTCTTCAAAGGTTGGTATGTGATAATGTTCTCTCACTATATTTTGATTAAGGTGTTGAGGATCTAAACACACTCTTAAATTACCATCCTTTTTCCTTATTACCACTAATAAATTCACGAATTCTGTTGGTTCGTTAACTTTCTTTATAATACCATCTTTTTCCATTCTTGCTAATTCCTTTTTTAATGGATTTAATAAGCTAAGTGGAATTTTCCTACAGGGTTCTATTTTAGCAACAGCTCCTGGTTTTAATTTAATATGATATGTATATCCAGTTTAAATTCCCAGTTTTACATTTTCCGACTACATCAATTGTAATACCATTGTAATTATTTAAAGTGACTTTTGATTTAGTCAAACATTTATCTCTTAAATTTAATTGTTTAAATTTAGGACAATGGTAACACATTATTACACACATAAATATTTAGATTACTTATGTATTCCAGACTAATAACACACATAAATATTTAGATATGTTTACTTTTTATTTTTCAAAGCCATTCTGTTTTCTTTTTAGAATAATGGATTTTGTATCTTCTACTGACCCTAAAATATATTCATTACCATTATTAAAGCAACTCATGCTCTAAATTATTCTGTACAACATTAACATTTTTAAAAGTGCTTATTTTAGAAAAGTGATTTTTTCTTTTTACAGCATACAAGCAAATCTTATTATAAGCAGGACAGTTGTATAACTTATGAAAAGTTCCACATTTTCTACATGGTTTTGGATTATTGTACTTATTTCCTTGAAATAGTTTGCAGAAGATTTAAGTACTTTGTTGCTTTTGTTTTACACCGTAAAGTCTTTCTTATGCAAGGCTGACTTTTTTTCCTCTGGAAGGTCGAAATTTTGTTACTGCTTGATCAGCTTCTTTTTTATTTTCTTCAGTTAAAAGTTTTCAGCTGAAGTTCTGCTAATTCTGAACCCTTTACACATTTTAATACATTTCACCAATTGTTAACTGACCGTCTCCCTTAATAACCTATCTATTAAGACTTTTATTTAAGAATTCCACTTACTATTTCTATCCTCTTATTAAACTATCTTTTAATTCTGCAAATCCGAGAGTTGCTACTTAATTTCTTTAACTTCGGTTAAAAAGTCATCAAACGATTCACCTACATGTTGTGTTCGACAGAAAAATATATGTCTATCAATGCTTTCGTTTGCTTTCGGTATGCAAAAATTTTCGAAAGCTTCAATTACTTTGTCAACATCCTTCTTATCTTCTTCACTTAAATTAAAAGTATTAAATTTTTCAAGTGCTTCTTCACCAATTATATGCAATAAATAAATAGCTACTTTAATTTCAGGTGATTTGGTAATACCACCAGACGCTAACATATAAATTTGGAATTTTTGTTTCCATTTCTTCCAATTTTCGCTTAAATTTCCTTCGAAACTTAGATTACTTGGTGGCTTTAATCCATCCATATTTAATGTAGGACTTTAAAAAGTTTATATATATGTATTTTTAGCCACTTCCAATAAAAATAAACAACTCACTTACCAGCAATATAAGTTTCGATTTGCTGCATGGTTCTTCAAAAAAGATTTTCTTTTTTAATCAAGGACGGGCTGCGCCATGTGTTGTATTTTATATGTGTTGGGTACGTGCTCAGTGATGATTACAAGATGTACACAAACATCGTTTATTCTACATTACTCATCTACTATTCTATATTACAGTTATGGTTAAAGATAATAATAGATACAGTTACAGTTACATATATAACATAACATATGTTTTCTTTTGATATGTTGATAATGTCTGCCAGTTTATGATAAATATTTGTAGTTTGGGAATAATTTTTAAAAAATGTCACGAAAATCGCCAGCTTACACCCCAATTTTTAATGTAAGTAACTTTTACATTTTCATCTGTAAAAAAAATTGTCCAGGGTGTTTGTGTTAATATGTAAGTACCCTTACAAATTACTCAGTACTGGCATCTATGTCAATGTATGAGACTTCCTAGACACAAGATAAAGACGTCTTTTTAAAAAAGTGCTAAGCTTATTATAGAATACAATACATATAATAACAAACATTAGCCAAATGACAAAAAATGTTATGTATTTTCAGAAGCAGTATAGTTCTCATAATTATCTGTGCTTAAATAACAGTCATTAATTAATTTTAATCTCTTTTTAAGTTACTTGAATAGTACCATGTTTTAAGTTTAATTTCTGATAGCTCCTTAAATGCACCCATTAAGTGAAATGTTCTGAAGACATATTTAAAAAAAGAATGTGAATGATTGATATGAAAGAATGTGAATGATCGATATGAAAATTTTCAGAGTGTATTTTTAAGTATAATTATTTCTAAAGTTATGTTAAACTAATTGAAATAAACCAATTGACTATAATGCATTTTCTTATGCTATATCTTGTTTACTTTTGTAGGTTTCATAATATTCCCAAATGAAGTTGGATCCTTACTCAGTTATTGATTTTGAGTCTTTAGGTTTTCTAGTAAGTTTATTTCTTTTATTTCTTCCTTAATTAATAGGATTAAACAAAGAAATGTTTTGTCTCTGATGTTGTGACAAGAAAAGAAATTTATAAGTATGTAAATGTGTGTACATTGCATTTTGAAAAAAAAAAAAAAAAAAGATTTAATTAAATTGTCAGGTGTGAAAAGGTATTATGTGCAAAATGTCAGATTTTGCAGGAACAACAAAAAACTATTCACCCCCCCCAAAAAAAACAATGCCATATTAACGATATCCTGAAGGCTATGTTAGCTTCGTTTCTGATACACCTGCTCTAGCTTTCACCTGATACTCTTAATGTTGTATAGAAACTAGTTCCCGACTTCTTGAACAGAATTTGACCAGTGCCTGTTGGTATTACCTTAAATATTCTTTTTTGCTTGATATCTTTTTCCATTCTTCATATTCTTCTGACTTGTAGATTCGTTCAATTCTGATGATATTGCACTTAACTGTTCTGAAATCCCAATCCCATGGCAGAAACAAGTGACCCGTTATCCACCATTTTGTGTTTGACATTTTATCAGCTTTTAAAAAAAAACTTTTTTGTGGTTCACTTTTAAGCCCTTCATAAATGAGAAATAATCAATATACACATTGTTTCAAAAAGCACTGAGAAGTACGTTCGAATGTGTGAGTTACGGGGGGGGGGGCAACACTAGGAGTTGGATTCTTTTATTTGCAAAATATATTAAAGCATTTTACAGTAGAAGCAACTCAGTTAAAAAATGACAGCAAACTTATGCTTAGATTTTACCTTATTTTCTTTTGAAAAAAATGCTTTCAGTTACGGTTTATTGATACCCAAGGTCTACACAGACAAAGCCGTAGCTAGGGTTTTCAATGCCCGGGGACAACTAAAGATTTTGCACCCCCTTCTGGATGCCAAGAATGGAAAACATTTTATTCTAAAATTTCCTAACATCAATTTGTCATCCCCCAGATGCTGCACCCAGAGAACCCCTCGCCCTGCCCTAGCTGCACCACTGTGTACAGAATAGGCCTTGATCTATAACTGCCATGTATACTAGCTGTATGGAATCTGCAAAAGAAACGACAACCCACGTGATCCTCATTCGAAATGCATAAGTTAGCCAAATGACCCAATCGAGGATATTTTTCCCAATAGAGAAAGGAAAAAAGAAAATCTCTTAGAAGGCCTGATTCAAAATACATAGATAAATGACTTTTTATTCAAAAAAAGTATATACTCCTAGAAGGCTAAATGCAAAATTCAGATATTTCAAATTTGACCATTCTAGGAGTTTGTAAATTTTGTGGAAATCCTGTAGAAAACAAGTGTCTTACCCACATTGCAATCATATGTGTAATAAAGATTCTTACCAGCATCGTTTACATAGTTGTGGTAGTCCGTACTGTCTTTATTATGTTCCCCTTGTAAAGGCCTTGATTATTTTTCGCTTTTTGCACTCGCATGTTTCTCTGATTCAGAGGAAATTGGACTGCAATAAAATTATAAAAGTGAAGCAACAACCTGTGTTAGGCGTAGATTTTTAGCATAGAAACAGAAACTCTATTGATTTGGAGAGTAAACAAAGTCCCTCCTCATCAAGAACAAAGAAATCTGCAATGAAAAAATCAAGTTACAAACATATTTATACCCTAAGGAAGTCGAGAGCAACCAGATAGTAGTGCCATTTGTTATAGAAATAATAATGAAAATTTAAAACTAGGATAATAGGGATTTAAAAGTGTTAGGTAGGATTGAATTAAAATCATTAATTCTGAGCAAATCACATTGTATTATTTATTTACTCATTTTAAATTAATTACCCATTTTAAATTGTTTCTTTTCGTACTTCGTCGTGCTTTGTTCGTTTTGTTACGTCTTAAGCGTATGAAATTCTTTTGCAATCTCATTTTTTTGCTTAAATGCAAAATTAATAATGTCATTCCCAAATTTATACAGGTGAAATGTAGCTTTAATCCTCTCTTTATGTTTGAATTATATTACCTCCATTTAAAAGTTACTAATTCTACTGGAAATTTTTCCTCGTTTGACCATAAATCTTTGTCTAGAACTGAAATCACTTGTGTATGTCATAAAAATGTCCTAGATTCTAAATTCCAATAGCTCACACCCCATTCGACTAACCCTGCCCATCCTGGTTACCTTCCCGCAGTTAATGCTAATCCCATTGTTAATATCTCAAATGTTAATCTTTCAGAGTATCAGATGAAAGTATTTAAATATAACTTCAATTTTTCGAGAACTTCTAAACCTTCAGTTTCTCAGAACATAGCCCCTATCGAAAAAGCATTTAAATTTTCCAAAATTTCAGAAACCCAGAAAGATACAATTTGTCACTTGATTACTGATAATGTAAATTACAATAACAGATTGTTTGTTCCAAATCTTAACCAAAAGAGAAAAAAAGCCTTACGTGAAATTCATTCTAATTCCAAAATTGTAATTTCCAAAGCTGATAAGAATGGACAAATTGTTGTTAGGGACAAACACATTGATGGAGTCACGGAACTGATAAGTGAAGCCCCATATTACTCGATCCCTAAAAATCCTTTAACTCCAGAACTCATGAAAGTTAAAACAGCTGTTAAATTGTCTCATATACTGTGCAGTCAGTGTAAGAAATCACCCATTCCACCTCTTGCTAACTATGCTAGGTTTAATGTTTCCTCCCCCCTCCCCCCGCAAAGTGCACAAAATTGGAATTCCTTTTCGACCTTTAGTTTCCATCTTAGAAAAGGCATCTTATCCTTAGGCCAAATATTTAGTTTCTGTATTTTCCCGTTTACTTTCTAATAATATTTACACTGTAAAAAATTATTTTGAAGTTATTGATAAACTTAAAGATATTTCTCCCATGTGCTTCATTATGGTTTCGTTTGATGTTAAATCTCTGTTTACTAATGTTTCAGTCGAAGGATCACTTAAATGCATTGAAAATAGTCTTCAAGAATTCCATTTCTTACATATTGCAAATAAAGATTTAATTTCACTTACTAAAATCTTTGAGTTAAGCTCACTTTGTTTTCCAAAATAAATATTATCACCAAATTGAAGGATTAGCTATGGGCAATCTCTTCAATCCTATACTTGCTGATATTTACATGGACTATTTTGAAGTCTAATTATTTGGGAATCTTTTGGTCTCTGGATTAACCATGCTGACTACAGTTTTGTGCTTTTTGATGGTAACTAAGAAGAGTTATCACATATTTTATCTGTTAATAATTCGATTAATCCATCCATACAGTTCTAATTTGAATCTGAATCTGACAGTACTCTTCCCTTCCTTGATATTCTTATAATCAACAATGAATTTGATTTTAACACTATCGTTAATCATAAACCCTTTTCTGTTTGTTTGCTTCCTCATGCTAAGTCATGTCACCTGACTAAACAAAAAGTGGCTTCTTTTAACTATTATGTTTTTCGCACTGTCAAAGTTTGTTTCTTTGAATCTCTTCTGGATAATGAACTCAGTTATTTGAGAGGAGTTGCCATTGACAGATTTTCTGCCATGATCATTGATTAAGCTCTTCGAAAGTTTTCCTCTTTCCATCCAAGAAAACATTCTCTCTGTTAGAAATAATGTTAATAACCTAGTCGTGCTTCCCTTTCATCCTTCTGTCAGTTACAAAATTGCAAGAATTCTCTGGAAATTCAAGTCATTTTCTTGTCTATCAATAAAATCCATAGTCCAGTTACTATTTCTGACTTCAATTCTTGGGGAATTTATAGCATATCTTGTCAGTATGATTCAAGATATATCGGCTAAATCAAAAGAGCGTTAAGGTTTCACATTAAGGACCATAAATCTTATGTCCCAAAAGAAGGAATTTACAAGTGTTCGATTGCTAATCATAGTTGTAAATTTAATCACAATTTCGACTTTGGGTCTGAAAAAATTATCCCAAAGGCTTCTTTCCCTGGAGAATTATATTTTCTTGAAGCTTTTCATATTCACAAAAGTTAGTTTGAATTGCTGGTGGTGCTTTTGATGGAAGAGGAGATAAATCACTTTCATCATATGAGTCATTTTTCAAACAAGAATTTACCGAACGAAAAGGATTTGCTCCTCCATATATTTCATATGCTAACGCTCCTGCTGTGCATAAATCTGATCTCGAATAGTCAATCACTGAGAAAAGACCTGCTTCAGCATTTACAACTTCTGGTATCATTAATGCTATATTTCCACCTCACGTGAATTGTAAACCAAATAGAGGCCTTCAAGAGAGCATCCAAAGTCAGTTACTGCAAGTCTAGGAAAGCTCCATACTGGAAATCTTATAAAGTACTGTCAGTCTTTAAATCTTGATGAGTAACATCATTTTGAAACAAGTGCACTAGAGCTTCCAAAACCTGAGTAAGCAATAGCAATGCTCTATGACCAGAAACATCCATTCTTTTCAAATATTCTTTTAAATTGCAATTGTATCTCTTCATAAGAAGAAACAACGTCATATTTCTACCACATCTATCACTCAGAAGACGAATAGGAAAGGCTTTGTGGATAGTTGGTGAAGGCTCCAAGAAGCAAAGGAGTTTGATCAGCAAAAGCAAAATACATTTCAACTATATTTGGATGAGGCCACAATTTCTTTTTCCTGACTTTATATTTTGTCATTTCACCCAAAGAAAACTCGCTAATAATTCACAAAAAATTTGCACTTAGATAATTAAAGATAAATCTTTTTATCCAAGCAATCAATGGTATCACTTTGCCATAGCTTGAAAAATAATAATTGTACCAACTTAATCCGTAATGTATATGTCCATTATTTTTCTTTTTATCAGTTTTGCGGCTACAAGTGTTTGTGTAACTTAGAGAACAGATATAAGAGTGCCCATCAGATTTTGTTTTTCTCTTTTCCTTAGCTATAGAATGCTCATCAATATTTTGTTCTGTGACGGGCCAGTTAGATGATGGTTCTAATAACCAAGTGGGTCCTCGCCATTTGCTTGATAACAGATGTCTAGCGGAACATCCT